CCGGAGGAACCATAAAGCATGCGACTCACCGATCGCTGACTTGCGCCGCTGCGATCGTTTTACCGGCAAGGCATCTCAGAGAGCACATCTGGTAGGCATTGCATCTTGGAGGCTGCTTGATTGTTTGGCAGTTTGGTTAATTGGCTGCTTGGCTACTTGGTTGGTTCCTTTGGTCAGATTTGGATGTGGCGGTTTGGCAACTGACCCTCTGTAATCAGAACAGAACCACAACGATTAGTTAACTGTGTTTATCGATTTGCATTTTGATAGCATGCACGTTTTTCCACAACTACTTCTACAAACATTTAATAGGCTTTTGATTTTGAGGTGTACAAATAGAGGCATGCAGGAGTGGGTTATAAATTTGCAAACGTTTATATCGCAACGTGAAATATTGTAAAATATTTGAGAATGCATTTTAGAACTGTTAGGTAATTAGTTTAGAGAGCGTGGTAAACGTTTGCAAAAATATAACACAACACGTAGGTAACTACTGTTCAAACACTAGTAACAGTTTGTTAAAACATTTGAATAACCACTACATAAAGTACACTGGCACCGGTAACACTATGCCAATACATTTAAAAAACCATTGCATAAAGTACACTAAAGCACCAGTAACAATATGTCAAAACATTTAAATATCAATTGCATAAAGTACACCAAAGCACCAGTAATCGTTTTTTAAAACACTTAAATAATCATTAAATAAAATACACTAAAACACCAGTAACAATATTCCAAAACATTTAAATAATCGTTTCATAAAGTACACTAAAGCACCAGTAACAATATGTCAAAACATTTAAATAATAGTTGCATAAAGTACACTAAAGCACCAGTAACAATATGTCAAAACATTTAAATATCAATTGCATAAAATACACCAAAGCACCATTAACCGTTTGTTAAAACACTTAAATAACCATTAAATAAAATTCACTAAAACACCAGTAACAATATGCCAAAACGTTTAAATAATAGTTGCATAAAGTACACTAAAGCACCAATAACAATTTCTAAAATCACTTAAATAACCACTCCATAAAACACACTGAAGCACCAGTAATAATATGTCAAAACATTTTATAAAATACAGTAAAACACTAAAAAATTAATAAAACGTTTAAATAACCACACCATAAAACACAGTAATAAATCCGTATACATATGCACAATCACTTAAGCAAACACACTAATAAAGTCACTGACACTTGTAGAAACACACCATAAATTTTGTTAAAACACCCCCATAATTATTAAAAAATATTTATTAATGCACACTAAACACTAGTAGTAGCACACTA